CGAAGGACCCGGATGGTGTGGTGGTGAAGTGCGCTGCTCCCCGGTAAGGACAACAGCGCGTGTTCGTTCCCCATCGCATACACCTGCGGTCCGGAGTTTTGCAAATATCTCAGCATTATATACGAATCAATCTAATATTTACAATATTTATATATACACATGTGTATATAAAACACCGACCACATTCCATTGGAGAGAGCTAAAAAAATCACAGACTCTTCACTGTTAAGAAAATTCCTGTATTCAACGAGATTCATAGCCCATGAGTCTCGTTGAATACAGGAATTTTCTTAACGGTGAAGAGTCTGTGAATTTTTTTAAGCTCTCTCCAATGGAACGTGGCCGATGTGATTGAAACAAAAGCAGCATATTACAACAAAACATACAATGTTGTAGTGCAATCCCTCCCGAATGCTGAGCGTAAGCATGACGAGGTGCTCCACCTTGTTGGTAACCATGAGGTTCATATCCCTAAGTTAGTGTTGCATAACTATTTTATACAACGGATAACAAAGAGAGTTAAAAATTCAAATAGTAAGCAGTTGATAAAACCAAAAGTCATAGGCACAAAATACCTGCTCATAGACTGTGTGCTGCATGTAAACTGCACTTGGTGGTTGCGAATAGCTAGGCTGCGACTGGTGTTGCGAATGATGGATTGTCTGTGGTTGAGAGCTCATTGGCGGAGGTGGCTGCTGCTGACTGGATGATGATTGCTGGGAACTAAAATTGACAGCATACTAGACACTTTTTTAAAATCTGTATTCGTTCAATCAGTTTCGGATAAAAAGGAAATTAAAATCAGACCGAACTAACTAAGGAAAAAAATAAAGTAAATCCTAACTAGGAGTTAGGAAAACACTAACTTCACAAGCTGCTGAGCAACATTCATAAAATTGGCATTGTGTTGTTGCTGCTGCTGTTTCGTATGCTGTGCGAATGACGTCACACTTAGTGATGTCATCATATTTCCACCTACCACAGATGTAGAGCTTGGTGGTGCACAACCACTGCCACCAAGAGATGCCAGATTAGGAGCAGTCTAAACAAAACTCTTCGTTTTACACATAAATTGCTCACTGATGGTTGATGGGAAACAGAGAGTTCATACGCTAATAAACAAGCAACTAAAACTCGACGTCAAAAACGGTCGCACTACCATGTTTTCTGGTAATCGGCCGTGCGACTGTGACATTTCCGATTCCCACTCCGCTTTCATTGACCAATCACCAACAGTTGGAAAGCTGAAAACAATTATAACATACAGTTATTAAAAAGCTTACATAAAAAAGCGACAATTGTAAATGAGACCTACCTGCAGACGTCCTGAAAACCCGTCGACATAAACATGCTACTAAACATATTCTCTTCTGGAACGAACCCAGTCATTGCAATAACATCGCCGAGGAAAAACCTCTCCACGTTGTACAGACGTGCTCGTACTGAATTACTGCTATGAACAAAAGAATAACCATGTCTCAAATGAGATAGTATTGTGACTCCTAACTTCCACCAAAAAAAAGGTTTTGCGAAATAAATCCATATTAGAGCAGTAACTTACTGTTTATGTGTTTTACTTCTACTTTCTCACCAAAGTACTTGGTAAAGAGCATGAGATTTCCCTCCATTGTAGCAGACATCAAAATAACCTACATATTTGCAATTGTAGTAAACAATATAATTAGAAATACAATCATTCCTCTCAAAAGAGTGGATAAAAAACTCCTCCTAGAAGAATGAACAATAAAATACCTTCAAATCACTTCTTTTCTTCAAAGCCTGCTTAAGAGCTATTAATAAGTAGTCAGTATTTTGTTCTCGCTCATGGATCTCATCCTAAAATTTTCATTCTTACATAGAGTACTGAGAAGATGAACTTTATCTGACGTACACGGTGTCAACATAACTGCAAAAAAAAAATTCGATTTCTCAATCAGAGTATTAGATACAGACTAACGAGGATAATATGGGAGATATCAGTAGCAGCATCGTCTTGAGTAAGCATTCGTAGGAGAACACCACTAGTGCAGTACGTAAGAACTGTTTGAGGTGATGTCCTAAAAATGAAAAATACATTACTATCATAATACCTTGGATTGACTTTCCACATGATTATCGTTATATTACAGAGCAAACAGAAGCAATTAAAAATACTCCAGGCCGCTGAATCACGCAAAATTACGCCTGATACGAACATAGTCACAATTTCTGGGCAACCACACCTCTGTTCTAATCGTATGTGGTATCCTACAGTGGTTCCAAGTACTTCACCGCGTTCCCTGGCTACTCGACTTGCCACCGCAATTGCTGGTAGGCGTCGTGGTTGTGTGCACACAATTCGCAGGGGTTGCTGATTTTCATGCGCATCTTCCAGCAAGAATTGTGGTACCTAGATGCTTTATAATAGTAAAGATTTTAAAACCCCAATGGAATAAAATTCACCCTACTTCTTATGTAATTTCAAGAATAAATGGAAAGCGATAGACAAGATTCTTCTACCTGTGTTGTTTTTCCACATCCTGTCCCGCCAGTGATCAACACTACTTTATGTTCGTTGATCGCCCGTAGTACATCCGCCCGTTGTTGATAAGCAGGTAATTTAGCTCTTCAAACGCAAGCATAATATCTCATTTCTCAATACGCTTTTCATATTACGTACTAAGTAGGAGCAACCGGACGCGAATAAGCAGACGTTTCCAGGAAATGCTAACCTTTGTCGCTGCATCTCCGCGTTAGTACTACTGCGTTGTGGTACGAGCATCTCTAAACGTTCTCTGTTGCCAAGGTCCCGTTGTGAGCGATCTCTAGCTAAATTTACGGAAGCCGTAGATATGAGTGACAAAAGGACTCAACCTAAAGTGACTCACGTCTGTGGGCAGACAAATGACGTTCAATGGAGGAACTCCTTATCGGATACTGACGCATGAATTTGGACAACTGGAAGTAGGAAAGATTTGTTGGTGTCGCACACTATGATGACTGCTATATTAGTTCAAATATTAAACAGCACAATTAGCCTATTCTCGAAAAATGGAGTATATTTCAAAGAATGCTATACGGAAACACTTACAGCTGCTCGTACATTTGGAGTAAGACGTATAGGTTGCGTCTCATATGCGCCAACAGCCACGAGCTTTGGAACAGGACGTCGATGAACGATACATCGCCGATTTGGCTCCCTGCTGCAAACAAAATCACATGATTCTACAACAAGCATAGACACGATTTCAAATTCTTCGTTCTTACAACTTTCATGTTTTATTACCTCCTTCAGTACTTTAACCATCTCCCCTAACATGGAAACGTAAATGACGTTAAAACCATTTAATCGTCTCTATTTCACCTGTGACAGCAGCGACCCTTTATGAGTCCGACTAGTCATATCACTCTTCACCGATTAGTCGACTACTTACAAAAATCGCTACAGCTGTGGAACTCGTTTTGCAATTGGACGTAATTTCGGGAAGACAGCACCATAATGAAATTGGATTTACCAATTTTTAACAAAGCAGGAGGTTAAACCAGCTGTTTATGCTGTTCTAACAAAGTTCTACGATGGGTCGGATCATCACTTTTTCCCGTTGAAGGCTTCCTTCTTTCACAGTGAAACTCGTGACATGAAATCTTAATTACGTGTAGAATAAACTATGTAGACATGGTCTCGATAGAAGCAGAGCGGAAAATCTGAAGAATCATCGTCAGTGCCTAAAATGTACGCCAGTTCAGCAGAGGTTTAGAGAACGCTAATTACCTGAACCATGTCATTGAACAAGGGCTCTAAATAACATCGGCAACTGTCGATAAATCGTTCTCCTAAAAGCTCTTTACCTAAGGTATCCTTAAAATGAATGAACGACCACTGAGTAACAGCGCGTCCATGCGAGCCAGTTTCAAAACCAGTTCAATAAGATAGATGGTATACACATAAATATGTCAAAACCGATTTTGCTTTAATCTTGGTTTGACTAATCAACATGCAATATTTCTTTGAAAAGCTCAGACGAGTCTGATAAACAATATTCATTCGGCTAAAGATTTCAGAGATGCTCGACTGAAAAAGATCCGACTCGATACGAGGATGAAAATGCCACATCGGGAAGATGAACAACTGTGTAGCATCGGCTTTGATGAAGACGAAGACGTCCAAACGTTAGTCGAACAAAGGCTATTTATCAACCTCGTGTAAGCATAGCAAAGAAAGAATACATGTTAACATTCATATCCTTAATGAAATTCTTGATGTATCGCGAGAATACAAAACGCCTCACTTTCACCGTGGGCTCACGAAAGTGTTAAATAATTAAAGTGAATAATAACGACATTTTACGCTTACAGCAACTTCATAATGAGATTTCCACCATTTTACATCGAAATTACCATCAACATAAAACAAGTGCACCGACGAAACGACAACATTCCACGATAACTATTTAGCATCGCACCAGACACCAAACGTTGTGCAACTAGGATTGCATGAGATAGAAGCGAAACTCGATGACCTGTAGCCACCTAATTTCTTTCTAATGAAACCACTCTAGAAAAACATTAACCACGCGGAGGTAATCCAGGAAAATTTGAAGGCGATGTATGGGGAAAACGCTATTTACGAGAAATGGACCTCCCATTAAACTTACGATCGAAACTGTGTAAATAAAGCATTGGTGTGTAATGCTTGTGGGTATTTTTGCAGTTTTAAAAAAATAACTTTTTGCTTAAAATCTTCAAACTTACAATAAATTTCACATTTAGCTCTATGATTTTAATATAATTTCCTACAGTTTTGCGGACCTCCCTCATATGGGAGATCTCGAGCCGGTTAGTCACGAGGCTACGTAGCGCGTCACTAGGTGGAGGATAGGAGATTAATCGCGGACCAAAAGCGACCCTTGCTTCCCTGAGACGTAGGTGGATCTAATGGACTCCCTGTTTCTGGTGCACCAACTTGGCACATACTCTGTATTTACGTAGTGTATTCATGCACGCGTGTGTGGGTGCGTTCTGGTTTATGCAGGTTGTATTCTACGAGTTAATTTCGCCAAAAGAATGCAATCAAATAACAGGGAGGTATGTGGGAAGCGGTTAGGAATCGCCTCCAACAAATAAGATCTATGTCCACTCTAGGAGAGTCTGACAAGCCACCCGTGAGCTTACCCAGCCGCTACGTTGACAGCCCAGCAAGCTATGCGTAACTATGAAAAAGCTAAGAACAGTAAAATAAACGGACCGCATTCCATTCACCCCGAAACAGTCCCCAATTCGGTAGCGTTGGGGAGGATGAGTACAGAGAGGCTGCTAAAATCCTAGGGCCAATGGAAGCTGCCTGAACTGCAAAGAATTAAGGTGACGATCTGTACCAACAATGCACATTCACTTGTATCCGAGTCCTCGACAGAAGACTTGCTCATGCAAGCAAGAAGGATAAGGTACGACGTCATCGGAATGGCCGAGACAAGACTACGCCATCCATTCAACACCATGACACCGGAGAAGAACTGTTCCTCGGAACTTGCAACAGTAGAGTAAGCGGCGTCGGCGTTCTCGTCAACAAGAGTTTGTCCATGAACAGCTTACAACCAGAATCGGACGTTTACAATTAAAAAGATGCGATTCAATACCGGTTTCGACAATTTTCGTCGTTTACACGCCGACATCAAACGATGACGAAGCGTTCTGTGTGGACTTCGACAAATTCTATAGAACAGACCGTACATTCTTCAAGGTCATCACTGGAGGTTTAACGCTAAGAGTGGAACAAGAAGAACGTAACATTGGGACCCATGGATTAGAACGGAACGAAGAGGGTGAGCTGTTGTCCGAGTTTATCACAGCGACCAAGACCATGGCAACTCGCAATACCAGAAGCTCCACTTTCACTGCTGGATGTGGGAAACTCTAACGGAGAGTACCATAACGAAATAGACCACTTCACAGTAAATAGAAGATTTTGACTCACCGATGTCGCTGTTGTACCAAAGTTCTACACAGGACCACACCATCGCCTCCTTCGCCCAAGACTTTATTTCTCGCAGAAAGGAGAAAAAACCGCAAGATTCAAAAACGAAGTCCCAGAACCCCATAAACTGGGACACATTCGATTCATTAGTCGGCTGTTGGAAAGATGCCGTTGTCGACAACATCGACGAACGAAGACGAAGAGAACACATCCAGAGTATGAAAAACTGTGGATATCAACTCGGACCATTGGATCCGAGTAAGAGGAAGACATCGAGACATCAGTCGAATAAATATTTGTAATTACCTCGTGTTATAAATGAAACAAAGTACATGTCCGTTCTTCGCACCTCAGAGGTAAGATCTAATTTTTCAACAGACAGTGGAAAACCATGCCTTCTTCGCTACAGTAGACAGTCGTAAAGGTGTTAGCGCTTAGGCATAGTCATTCATATCAAAACGGCTCGCTGATACTGATTGTACTCTATTCGTAAACAGCGGTAATTTTCAGACAGTAACGGATGCTTTGACTATTTATTCAACCTAAAGAAGGATATCCCCATGTTCAACTTTACATTTAAATTATTTATTTGCCCTGAAAAGTCTGAAATTCTAAGACATATGAAACACATAACTAAAAACATTTCATAAAAACACCTCCGTTCAATATGACCGACAAGAACTGCATTAATTCTCTGTATCAGGATTGATAGGTAAGACAACAGATTTTAATGCTGAGCATAAACCCCCATCACCGAGTTTTTATTAATTCCATTAATCTCAGCATTCACTGAAAATTCACTGTTTTCCTGTGAACAAACACGAGATGTGGCGAGTCCAGTGTTATTATAGTACTTATTCACAATGGACTTCCCAACGGTTTAGCGCCTCATCGTGGCTGGGAGGTATTCCTGGGTGTCGGACTGCGATGTACAGTGGCGGATTCATCCACTGGAAAAATCTCCTAAGCTGAGAAAGAGTCCGGTATTTCCGTCAGGAAGCCTAGCTAAGAGTAAACCAATACCAGGATCCACCACCGTCCTAGTATCAAAGTCGCATGGTGGGAAATCTCTCTCTGATACATATGGGAGGAAACTGCCTGTGGTGGTGACGACTAGGAGTAAACTTTGGCCACGCTCCCATTGGGACTCCAGGGAAGCACAATGGCCAGACACCTAGTCCACCAAGACTGTAAGTTATGCTGAGGCCCGCAAAACCAGTGAAGACTGGCCATCCAAGTATTCAAGCAAGTAATGGCTAACATTTTGGTGGATCTTGCCTTCTCCGCACACTGGAAAGACCAAGTTGATGCACAATCAAATCAGCCAAACACTTTCACAAATATAGCAGAGAACTCTTAAACCTATATTTCAATCACACTGGTAACGGCTTCTTAACACACTCACCGACTTCAGACAACCACCGTCTTCTACGATTCTTCCACTTATTGATGGAGGCCAACCGCAGAGTTTAGATGGGTGAATAATTTATCTCTCTCATGTTAGAAGATCAGTGCGACATAATGTATGATGAAATCATGCTTGACAGCAAAGCGTTCCTCGCGGTTTATATGTGGATTTTGGAATTTACCCAGAATGCTCCGAGTTTTGCGCGCTGAAGTTGTAGATTCCTGCACGAAGGTTGTGACATCTACTTTAAATTCTTCAGGGTTATGTCTGTGGAACC